TGCATTGTTCGTTGCAGTAACAAGAGCTTCTTATGTAAATGATCAGTGCAACGTTACACCACAGCGGTGACCAAGGAACAGGTTAAAAATAAGGACAATACCTTTATCATGGCAATAGAAGACGTAGAGCAACTATGGGAGACTTTCAGGCGTCGCAAAAACACAAGGAGAGAGGAAAGCGTGAGAGAATTATACAATGTTTGGTATCTATTGTTCCAAAACCGTGAGGAGGATAATATACTCGACGAACCGCAGGATATTATTCTGAGGTGCTCCATGGAAGAGGATATGTGCCAACCCAATCCTCAACCTCACTTCGTAGTTGGACAATTTCGGATTCCGTCTCACCATCACCGAGGTGATCTAGGAAAATCTTTATCTTGCCAGGGCTCTTCTCACCTTTCTCCTCTGCTGCTTTTCTAGCAGCTTTATCGATACGAGATGTGATGGTGACGGCACGATCCACAACGTCAGCAACACGAACGAAATCATCCTCGTTAAAGCCACGGGTAGTCATGGCAGGAGTACCCATGCGAAGGCCACCAGGAACCAGAGCAGAACGATCCCCTGGGACTGTATTTTTGTTGGCTGCCACACCTACCAGCTCCAAGACACGCTCAACTCGACCACCATCAATGCCCTGGGGTTTAAGATCAGCCAGGACCAGGTGGTTATCTGTACCTCCGCTGACAAGCTTGTATCCCAAGCCGCCTTTGCCCTTGGGCTCGCTCAGCCGCTTTGCGAAAGCCTTGGCGTTTTTCAGAACCTGGGACTGATACGCTTGGAACTCTGGAGTCTGGGCTTGCTTGAGAGCTACAGCAAGAGCTGTGATGGTGTGGTTATGTGGACCGCCTTGGTGACCGGGAAACACAGAGTTGTTGATAGGACCTTCGAGATCATAAAGAATATCTTCTTTCGTCTTGGGATTTTGTCTCCGCACGCCTTTCCGATAAAATATCAGAGCACCTCGGGGACCCCTTAGACTCTTGTGGCTCGTTGTGGTTACGATATCGGCGTAGGCGAAGGGACCAGGAATGACCTTTGCTGCAACAAGGCCAGAAATGTGGGCGATGTCGGCTAGTAGGTAGGCGTTGATCTTGTCGCAGATCTCCCGCATACGCTGATAGTCGATTAGTCGGCTATAGGCACTCGCACCAGCGACAATAATCTTTGGCCTATATATGCTTGCCATCTCCTCCAACTTGTTGTAGTCGATATATCCTGTAGTCTCGTCCAGTCGGTACGGTAAAGTTTCGAAGTACTTTGATATCGCTGAAATCTTCTTTGTGGGCGTTTGGTAACCATGAGATAGATGGCCGCCATGTGGTAGATCGAGACCCATTAACCGATCATGGGTGTTGAGCAAGGCAGAGTAGACATAGAGGTTCGCTGGAGCGCCAGAGAGAGCTGAGAGGCCATAGTCAGCATCACATGCGCCCATATAAGTCACTTGAGAAGAAAGCAACGAACCTTGAACATTAACACCCCATAACTTTGAGTCGAGTCCGAACGATTCAAGGGCACGCTGTTGACAAAGCCTTTCGGCCTGGTCGATGAATTCATTCCCGCCGTAGTAACGGGCCCCTGGGTATCCTTCCGAGTATTTGTCTACAGCATACGTTAGTCTCAAGGTCTGTCGTCGTTCGATCTTTGGCTACTAAAGCTCACTCTGCATCACGCTACCAAGAGCATCGAGTACAGCCTGGGAGGTAAAGTTCTCGGAGGGAATCAGATTGATGAAATGCTTCTGGCGGTCTTTCTCCTGCCCAAGACGTCAGCACACACAGGGGAAGTAGATAGAATATGTAGCAACATTGCGACCAACCTTCTCAATGATGTCGAAGACAGCGGGGTCAGCTTTGCTCAGATGGGCTGAGAGGGCCTGGGATGAGGAACGAGGACATTAGATGCTAAACTTATTGGATCAACCCAATTGAACAAGACACACCTGCTGCTGGTCCTCCAGAGCTATGGAAGATGCGGCACGAGTACATGTCGCGATCACAGCAGCTGGCCTTGCGATGTTACGCAGGACCCGCGAGGTGCCTCTCACGCCAGCGAGAGACATAGCGTGCTTGACAGCCGTTGGCAAGACACCGAGATCGAATGATGCGAGCGCTTATGGGAGAGACAAATTGAGAGTCAGTTCTATTTGCGGCAAAGCAAAACAGCTTCACGAGGTGCTTGTTGTAGTCCAGCGGCGCGTTCGCTCAGGACGTCATTGACTGATACGATGGGACTTGATTAGTGCCGACGACAGGCGGAGGGTGGAGGGTGGAGGTGGAGGAAGTTCGGACAGGGCCGAGACTCGAATGATAGTTAGTGACTGTCTTATGGATCCATAGCAGCAAAGACTCAGACGGGAGACGCACACCATGGTGCTCCAAATACGATACTCTCGCACAAGATACCTGCTATAATGCTTATGTAGCCAAGGGCCCTGTAGTTATTAGATTTATTAGCGCTCTTCTTCCAGAGCGAATAAATATCTACCTATGAGTAGCTTCAGTCGGTTCAAAAACTCACACTGGATCGAAATACTCTCTGACCAAGTACATCATTCCCTGACATACATTTCTGGCCTTACATACCTTACCTACCTAAGGTACCTACCTACTGCAGCTACCTACTAGTCATATGGTTGTGGCTACAGTCAAAGTACAAAAACAACCTCGACCATAATACGTACTACGTAGTATAGCTGTTTGCTTGGTTTTCCTCCCTCATCTTCTTATCTACTAAGGTAAAGTTGGGTGTGATGGAATCGCTTAGACAGCAAATAGGTCCGTCTGGAGCTGATGCAACCTCACCACTCATTGCCATGGGAGTAGCTTTTTCTGTTTCTTGTAAGGAGAATCGGCCTACATACTAGGTGAGCTTTTGTTTGTTTTGTTTATTTCCACGATATCACCTGGCTGCAGTCCTCGTGGGTAATCAATCTTATTAAGATCTCTCTTGTTGTAAAAGTTTTATAATTAAATTAATAAAATAACTAATTTTTTTTTTAATTATCTTAAAAATAACAATTAATGCTTTATTATAAATTAATTAAAAAAATATAGGTATTTCTTTATCTTATAACAATTTCTTCTTATTTAATTTATTATTCTTAGACAAAAATACCCAAGACCGGTCAATCATTCTGTCTCTGAAGGCAAGGTTAGTACCTAGTGCATGGCATGTCCCAATCCTGCAGAAAGTCGGGACTTGTAATAATTTTGGCTCAGTTTTCGACAATTCACACTCGGTAATTGAGTCAATGACACAGATGAGACGTCACGAGCATTACTCTCATGATAAGCCAGACCGCGCACATTATTTTTTAAACGCTGGTGGTAGTTAAGTCGTGATGAGCGGGACAAGTGCTCACGAGAAGGTCGTAAATGGTGAAACATCCAAGCATCCGAGCATCATCGATTCCATTTTTTTCAATGCTACATGCCTGAACCCCCGCCGGTACAAGTGTAGAAACCAGAAGGGCATAAAAAGAGACCCAACCCGTAGACTCCGAATGCAGCCTCCTCTCAAGACCGAAATGTTGTCATTGTCCACTAGGTTTAATCTTACTCCTCGGCAAGGAGAGCATTTCGCTTCGCCACCGCACGCTCCTGCTTGCGCTCGCGGGCAGCCTTGTTCTTCGCACGCTTGGCATCCATCTCCTCCTGAAGGGCAGACTCACGGGCCTTCTCAGCCTTAGCACGGTGAATCTATATTAAAAACTCCATGTCAGCGAATGTTCCTAGCGTGGACACCAAGGAAGGGGCATCATTGATGAAACGTACGTGCTCGACGAGGGCACGCTTGTGCTTGAAAGCGTTACCCTTGCTGCTGTGGTACAGCTCGTGGTAGAGGTGCTTATCGATCTTGCCGCTGGCACGGTACTTCACCAAAAGACGGCGGAGGACTCGGAGGCGGCGCATCCAGAGGACCTGGCTAGGCATACGGGCATCGGCGGTACCCTTACGCTTACCATAGCCACGGTGTCGGCCCTCTCGTCGGGCGAGGTTCAGCTCGCGAGCGCGCGATCGTGAGTGCTGGGTGACGGGCTTTCGGATGATGAGGCCATCGGAGATGAGTTTTCGGATGGTCTGGCGAGAGTTGGCGTTGGAGATCTCGCTCTGCTCGTTGGGGTCGAGCCAGATCTTGCGCTTGCCACAGCCGATGACCGCTGAGGCCAGGCGCTTCTGAGTTCGCAGATTGACCCTGTAGTTGAGGAAGAAATCATCAGTTAGCCACCAGTACCCTCTGATAACGTTGTCATGTCCCAAATTATCCAATCCACCGGATCCGTGGCGACACCATCAAAAAGCATTGCAACCAGTTCATATACTGTTTCCAAAGCTCCTCCTGCATCGCCTCCTCGCTTGTACTGATCGTTCGGATGCACTTACATCTTGATTGTCGTTGGGTGGTGATGGCCGGTCCTCGATGGATGTTGGATGATGAAGACTGGTGAGAGGGGTTGCGAGGCCAGAATTTCTCTGCTTGCAACTCCTTCTGTGGGTTCACGCTAAGCCTAGAGCGCCAAGCGAGGGCTGCACGTGACCCTCAGGGTCGAAAGTGGCAGGAGCGACTTAGCCGTATCGAATTAAAACTACGCATTTTAAAGGTGAATAAATTATCAATGAATCATGATTCCGAAATTTGAAATTCAGGGTCTTATCGACACAAACATTTTTTTTGTTTCGATTCAATTGAGAAGTACGCGGAGATGATATGCCATTCGCACGCTTTACGCACTGTTGTGGACAGCAGGAGTGTGTTCAAACAGCTATACCAAGCCTAGAATTGCAATTGTAGACCCTGTGATCAAGTTGGTTGGTTACCTCTACTACTTTTGCATGCACGATCAAATCTTCTTAATCAAGGTAACAAGTAGATATGATTTGTGGTGAATTTACCAAGTGTGCACCGTGTGTAACAGTATATTCAACGGCATTCGTCCTGGACACATGCCCACCTCGCCTAAGATTTGTATTTGCGATATGCTCTTTTACATATTATGAGAAGGCCTCGCTGCCCACATCAACTTTTCCAACACTCCAAATCTCCTTCTCATCCTCAGCTTCATCGTTGGACAGTCCCAATCCCCCCTGTCCACCCTCAGCCTCGCGCCTCTCGCGGGCTTGAGAGCCTAGCCTCATGGCGACACGTTTAAAATAGTCTCCCATGCTCCTCTTGGTGTTGGCTGGTAGATCTGCTCCTGGACCAGCCATGAATTTATCGAAAATGCGGCTCTCTTCATCAGCCACATTGAACAGTTCCACAAATGCCGCCTCAGCAGCGAGTTTGACGGGAATAACGGGGTCGCGAACACTGGCAAATATGGGTTGTGCTAACAGGGCGATATGAGGTCGGACCATCTCCATATCGTTGCGACTGACAGTACGAACGACAACCAGTGCAAGTCTGCGCGAGTCGGTTGCGTTGCCAGGTTGGATCACAGAGGCAAGAGCTTCAAAAATTCCCTTCGTAGTCTCAAATGTCTTGGGAGAATCAGATAGCAGGTACTTTCCAGTCGCCAGAATGCAATTGTCTGCAATAAATACCTAGACGGTTGTCAGTTTACGAATCAGACTCGATCGGGGAACATAGATGTGGCTTACGTTCTTGTTAGTGACGCCCTGGCAAAGCAATTCGGGCAAGTCATCAGCTAAGGAGCTTTGAAGCAGCGCGTCTGGTGACTCCGCGAGGACTGAGTTCAGTGCAAGGACAGATGAATGAGTGAAATGCGAGGTCGCCACGCGGTTCTTCAATAAACCATGAGCGGCTTCCTCAGGAACATTTTTGATCAGAGCCCCCAGCAGCTTGGCATTAGTGATGGTCATAGTCTCATCTCTCTCGTCAGTGTCCATGTCGATAAGCGACAAGACAGAAACTCGTGATGTTTCACCCATATTCGCACCCGCCTTACTGATAACTTCATACAAGGCCTTGAGCATGGCCGTCTTGACGCCGGGATCGGCCGTCTTCGAACCAGTGACCAGTTCAGCAATCAACGGATCGATGCGGGGCGTATACTTGATCAAAGTACCCAGGGCCTTGGCAGCCCGTGTTCTCAAAGTCTCACTGGACGGGTCTGCAAGGGACTTGGCAAATGTACGTTGAAGCTGTGGAAGAAAAGGTTTCAGTGCTGCAGGCATCTTATCCAAGAGATTATTGAGTGTTAGAAGGATCGCTGACTTGACTTCAGTGGCGCGCTCTGAAACGACACGGATCAGGGGTCCAGTAATCTGGGTAACGAATGGCTTCAGAGAGGCCTCGCTTGTCCTGTCAACGATGTCTGAAATACCCAGAGCAGCTTGAACTCTTTGGTCTGCAGTGCCATTCATCAAACCTTGCAGGAAGATTGGTAGAATGGCATTGATGCCCTTGGGTAGCTCGAACCCACGCAGGTTTGCTCCTGCGACACCGATTCGCTGAAGAGTTTGCCGAGTGGAAATGACGAGCGACTCCATCTCCTCTTTTCGCAGCTTCTTTGTGAATGCGCTGAGAGCCACCCACGCAGCCTTGACGACATCGGCATCTCTGTCGTCAAAGGAGTTAAGCAATGAACGAATGATATCCTGGTTGTATCTGGAATAATCCACGCTGGCAGCGGCAAAAAAGTTGCCCAGGTGGTGAGCAGTAGCCGCTCGGCGTCGGTGGTCCTCGTGTTTGAGAAGTTGAAGCAGAACGTTCATGACCGTATTAAGACCATCGTATTCGTCAATTGACTGAATGACGGTGTCGAAGGATGTCGCCAGCTCCGCCCGAAGGCCATCGTCGTCACAATTTATCTCATTGTCCATGAGCGAATTGATAATGTTAGGGAGGCGACGATTCATCGCAGGACCAGCAACCTTGGACAGAGATGCAAGAGCCTTGGCATCGAAGGCTGATATGGGTGGTGTCGTGAGAGTTGGGATGAGGTTTGGCAGGATAATATTCGAGCGCGTCGTCTCAGTAAGCAGGGTGAGGAGTGCCTGCAGAGCATTGTCTGCGTCACTCTCGGACCGCAAGAGGTTGAGAAGGAAAGGAAGAACTTGATCAACTGCTCGCTTGCCAAAGATTTGCTGGAGCGAATCAAATGCTTCAGCAGCGGCTTCTCGGACATCCTCATCAGAGTCCGTCAGTGCGGTACGAACGACGGAAATCAGGGTCTTTTCGTGATCCTCAAGAGCCTCCGGTGACGCTGAAGAGATAAGCTCCCTCAAGGCAAAGCAAATACCCTGCTTAGCGTCAACGTCTGTAGATGTCTGGAGGCCCTCTTCCAAAGTAGGAAGAAGACTGGAGAGAACACTGTCCCCAGCCTTTCGGATAAGTTCTCCTAGGGCATTGCTGGCAATGACCTTGTGTTCCATATTGGAACTTCCCAAGCGACGGATAAGAAGTTGTGTGAGGGTTGGCACAAGCTCCTTCAGGGTTCTCGGGCTGTGAACAAGAACCTTCCAAACAGCAATAGCGGCTGAGCGAACGGCCCCAGCTGTATCGCAGCGGCACACGTAGAGTGCAGAAAGTATCTTATTCCGCTTCTCCTCTCCGAGGGTTTCCTTCAAAGAGGCGCCTGCTTCTTTGATGTTCTCGTCCTCCTCAATGTCCTCAGCCTCGGTTCCAGCCTTGATACCGGTAAGGTTGAAGAGCAGATCCCCTACAAGTTCGACAGAGCTAAGTCGGATTCTGTAGCTGTCGTCTGCAAGGCCGCGTTCAAGTTCTGGAAGGAGGAGATCGACTGCACGAGCAGCAAAATTCTTGACCAGCAGACGGCCTGCACGCAGTGCGGTTTCACGAATCGACTCGACATCATCGGCAAGACCAGCCAGAATGGGCGGTACAATGCGACCCAAGTAATTGGAGAAGCTGTTGCCAAAACAGACTGGAAGGAAAATAAAAAGTGACATAAAGCCCTCGCGAACGGCGGGCTTTGAGGATTCGACATTTTGAAGAATGGTGGGAAGAGTCTCCTCCAGCCTTGTCGTTCCCAACCCAGCAAGCACCTCGCTGAGAGCCTGAGCGGATCCCAATCGATCACCAGCACCAGTATCTGATTTGAGGGTCTGCATCAGGCCAGGAATAAGATCGGGAAGTGTGTCTTCTCCAAGCTTCTCGACCAAAGAACCCAACGCTCTGGAAGCCGTCGCTCGAGTGGTAGGCACAGGGTCGACAATGGCAATCTTCAGACCAGCCACAAGTACAGGCAAATGCATGACCACGTCCTTCTTTTCGGTCAGATGAGCCAAGCTACCAATGACCTGAGCTGCCTTGCGTTTGGTATTGGAACGATCGCCCAAACCACGCTGCAGAATGCGAGTGACCAATGCTAAAGATGGAGCATCGAGGTAATGAACAAACTGGACCTTGATGAGCGAGTCCAGGGCTTCATCTGTATATTTTGTAGGGTCACTCAGAGCCTTCAGAATAATGTCGACCAACGATTTAATTTCTGGATTGTTGATGACTTCACCAAACCTCTTCAAGCTTCGGTTTGCGGCGGCCCGTACTTCCTTGTGGCTGTCGTTTAACACGCCCGTCAGAGGGGGGATGATGTCTGGCAGACTGTTGGCGAGCTGCTGCGGATCGAGGTATGCCATTGCACCAAGAAGGTCACAAGCACCCTTCTTGCTCCTCCACTGTTGCTCTTCAAGACCATCAAGCAGAGTTGGCATGATTCTCTTCACACCGTAAGAGCTTAGCTTCGCAAAGCACGACTTAGCCGCTGCCAGACAAGCCTCACGAACGTTTGCGTTAGCATCACCGAAGCCCGTCAGCAGCTGGGGCACAATCTGGATCACGTAGGGTTCAAAGACGCGTCCAAGCATAGTTGAGAGAAGTTCGTATGCTAGCAAAGCGGCCTCGCGCTGATTTGCCTCCTTTTTGTTTTCCATTGCATCAGTGAGAGTTGACAGAACTCGGTACTCTCTTAGTGCGGCGATGCCTCTGCCCATTACAAGGCCAGCCAGACCATATGCCGAACCTCGCTGAACAGCATACTTTTTAGAAGTGAGGAGCTGCTCCATGATTTGACCAAAGTATTTGGAAGACTGGTCAGGGCAGGCCCGGATCAGCGGAGGCAGACATTCAGCAATGGCATATTGTACCGTCTCCGAGGGCGTACTTAGAGTTGCCACGAGGCGGTCGATAACGATAGGTATCTTGGGATCACCAGGGCTCAAATGGCGAGCCAAGGCACCGTACATAATGATCACTGCCTCGTTGACACGGTCAGCAGCGTCGCTGTTTTTGTCTGGTTGTTCCAATGTCTGTTCAAATTTTGACATGAGCTCATCAAGGATGCCCTTGCCGTGAATTTCGATGGTCGTGATCGAAGCATCCAGCATCTCACCTCTCACTACATCGTTTTTATCTCCAAGAGGACCGGCATCGATGAGAAAGTCAAAGAAAGGATCCAGCTGATCAACCTTGAAAACTGGAGCAATCTCTTTGAAAGCTGTAGCGACACCTTGCCTTCCTTCCCAAGGATCGGACAGATCCATCTTTTTGGGCATGCCAAACTCATCGAGCTGCTGAACTCGGGGCTTAGCAAGCTCGACATAAGTGGCCTTGAGCTGGTCAAGCACCGCAGGTAAAGACTCATCATGTAAGCTAGCTGCTTCAGCCAAGGAGCGAGCAGCGGCACGGCGCAACTGCCCATCTTTGCTCTCGAGGAAAGGTAACATTTTGAGCGGTACTTCCGGCGTCACTTCGAAGCCACTCTCCTCCCATATCTCTCGACCGAGGTCCTGGTTTTCTTCCTCATCGTCATGAGCAGCGATCCAGATTTCATTGGAGTAGCCAAGCTCGCTCATGTCAACTTCAGCGCTGATAGATTGCAGCACAGTTGATCTGACACGCGTTTCAGGCACCAGCGCACCCCTTGCAAGAATAGCCATCTCATCGCGGTCCATGTTTGGTGCGATGCAGCGGCACATATCAGCAAAACAGTCCCTTAGGAGCTTGTAATGCTGAGCATATGCCTGCATAGAAGTGATAAGAGCTGAAAGAAGCTCGGCACGAGGAACAGCCTCATCACTACAGACGTCTGTATGGTATGAGAGGAACTCGATGGCCAATACTAGCTGAGCATCTGCATCATCGGGCGAATCACCAACTCCACCTTTACGGAGAAGCTCCAGCACGAGAGGCAACGCGTAGATGAGTGACACAGAGTCGAAAGGTCGCTGCTCGCCAGCAAACCGTAAACGGTACAAAACCCTTGTTACCAAATCTTCAACAGCTTCCTCTTGAAAGTTTTCTGCCAGCGACACGCCGCGCAGCCTGAGGGCCGCGACGCCAAGGAAAGGCCTCATCGAGCCCAAGCGATCTGTAACTTTCTCTGCGCAAGTTATGTAGGCCAATGGAGCTGCATCACCAGTGATCATCGTAGCACCGGCGTCCATAATGCCGATCAAGAGTGAAACTGCAGTACCAAGCCATTGGGCAGCATCTGTTGGTGGACCAGTGGCAAGGCTTCGGATAATGCCAATGCCCCGCAAAAGTCTTGCCTCAATCTCAGTGATAGATTGCCTGATCAGGCTCTCTTTCTTGAGTTGAGCATTGACTTTTGCGTTCTCTTCTGGGGTCAGCTTCTTCTGTTGGCCCTTCTTCTTTTCAAGCTGACCCCTAAGTTCTTCCTCCCATTTGAGAATATCATAGTCCTTTTTATTTTTGTCCAAGACTTGCTGAGACTTCTTTGCAAGCACGTCAACGAACACGGTACCCTCAGGCGTTCTAAAAATGGCCGCTTCGACAGGGCCAATATCGTGGAGTTGCTCGGCGTTGAGATCGCGGCTGAGGGTCTCCAGCAGTCGTGGAATAATGGTTTCGGGGGCAACAAAAGCCAAGTCAGCAGCTGCGTTGTAAGCAGCTTTCTTGATGGCGTCAACCTGTCGATATTGGTTAGCGAGGTTCTTGTACCCCGTGGACGTCATACAAACCTTCTGGGAGAACGATGTTTGATTCTCTATTTCTGTCACAAGCTCATCTTGGTACTTCTTGACTAGATTGCCAGGGTCTAGTTCCATCCTGAGGCACAAATCGATCCAGCTTGCCCTAGGGATCAGCTCTGGGCGCGCCAGAACAAGGAGATTGTTTGCCTGTGTTTCGAGATCCTCCGTGTTGATGGTTTCCCCGGACTTTTCGATGTCACTGGGGGTCAAACAGATAGCCTTCACAACCTGGACCAAGTTATGAGCGCCTGATGATGGGTCCTTATCAGGAGATCCAGAGTGCTTCAGATAATCCCAAAGGCCGGCGATAATGAAACCTGATACCAGTTTTGGACTACGAACGTACAGACTGGAAAGGGTCTTGGAGGTCTCCTGCTGAACAGTTGCCGGCACGCTCTGAGCGGCAACTAGGTGAATGATTGCTTCTGACCAAGCGAGGGCAACCTGATTATCAGCCCCCTTGTCAAGGCCTGGAAAGATAGAGTTCAAAGCCCGTGAAAACCACTTAAGATCCTCGTCGGCTGTGATCTTAGAGTAGATTCGAGGGCTGAGGAGGAAGGATGACTTGGGATCCAAGGATAGCGATTGCTTGGTAACCGATGCTTTTGCCAAGCTTGAATCGGCCGCAGAACCAGGAAGCACGCGATTGATATGTGTGCTTACAGCCGTCAGAATGTAGGCACCAACAATGAGGCCGTTCTGAGCAGCACTAGCTGCATTGGAGGTCACCTCTGTAAAAGTGATAATGAGTTTCGGTATCACTGCGTCCACAAAAGCAGCCATTGCTGAAGACACTGATTGCGCTTCATTGAGGGTTTGCAAGATACCGCCGACACGGAGCAACCAGTACTTCCGAAAAGGAATTTTCTTTTCAGTAAGGCCCTTAGTAACGGATTCCAGCACACTTTTGGGAACCTCGGCATCGTTGGTCAATAAGAAAGAAACCGCTTTTGCTAAGGCTAAAGTCTCCGCAGCTAAAGCACCCTCATTACCTTCTTTGGCAGCGATGACTGCAACTGCGATTGCGACTTGCTCGGCACTTGCTTTTGAAAGAGGCGCGGCCTGAAGCATTTGCGCATGCAGCACACGGTGGTCGGGAGATGCAAGTTTGCCGGATTTCAGGGGCGTCGCAATCTCGTTGATGACTTTTTCCAATGACGCAGTATCGCCAGACTTGTTGACCAGGGCGCTGAACGCGTCTAAGGAGCCAGCACGAATAGTTGCATTGGTAGATTTTGCATTTGACAAAAGGGGCTTGAGCAGATTCTGCTCCAGGATCTTGGAAAGATCAAAATTCTCAGGGAGGCAACGAACAAGAGGCGTCACAACTCCACCAAGAATGACCTCAGGGGCGCGCAGAAGGCCCTTCTCGAGAGCAGGGATCAGCTCTTTAGATATTTCTTCAAGTGTGGCAAACGAAGCGAAGAAATCACCGAGTCCAAGCACTAGATGCTCTGGAACACTAGTTCGAGAGCCCATGATCTCTCTCGTGAAGAAATCGTAATATCTAGGTTTGAGGGAATCGAGAACAGGTCGCAAGTGATCCTTCCTAGCGGATACGCCAGCGATGACCCCGAGTAAGACAGCATTCCTAGAGATCGACTGAGCCCCCTTCGCAGTCAGGACATCAACAGAAGCAGAAAGTCGCTTTTCGCTCAGTTCATTCGAGGAGAAGAGTTTCCGCAAACCCCTCCTTGTAACAATGATGGCGGAGTGAGTGACTGACTTCCTGGAAACGGGCTGGTGGCACTTTTCCAGAGCATCTGCGTCTGCTAGGACGATATCGGTAGCAAATTGTTCCCACTGCGAGGCATCGAGATGCTGCATAAACAAACTGCACCATTCGACGAGAACGAATGCATTGGTAGGAGCAATGCCAGGTTTCTGGCTTTCCCTGCGCAAGGCAGTAATGAGCGGGGCGATTGTCTTGGAGTCGGCACCAGAGGAAATAAGCGCAATCAGGCACTTCTGCACCGACAGCCTGGACTGCCTATCTGCGTAAAAGGCATACGTTCCGAAAAGGAGCGGGAGGAGACGTGTAATTGAGGCGCTGTCAAGGGCTTCGGAGCTATGGTCAGCTAGTTGATAGAACGATGGAAGAGGACAAGGGCTTGCGCACATTTCTGGGCCAATTTGTCTTCAATTGTGCGCAACTGAGTGATTCGAACAGCAGTGGAGGATGAGGACAGTGCCTGTTTAACAGCGGCCATGTCAAGAGGGGCCGGAGCGCCAGAGTCGGATGAGTCGCCCTTAGACATTCTGGAGTTCGGAAACGGAGGTATATGTTCGGGTTGGTGAACTCATCTGGGGCTACCAGAGCTCGTGAACGCCAATTCCGAGGCGTAGGTCCTCAGTAGAGGTGGTGGAACGTAGGTAATGTCGAGAAGGTTTCGTGGTGGGCTCGTAGTTGGTGTTTTAGAATTTTTGGGCACCAAATCCATCAAGAGAACGCAAATATCTCGTCTCGACCTAGGTATGGACCTTTACCCCACGCTGAATCAACAGAGGTCACCTTACCTAAGATATCCAGAGGGATAGGTACCTACCTACCCTCGGGAAGCAAGAAAACACCAGACCTCGATATAGGGTGTCAAAATAAACTTAACAAAGAGCCCCATAAGCTTAGGCTAGATTCACCTGAATATTTTTATTGCTTAGGGTCAAGGGCCTGTGTTTTCTTTCCTCCCCTAGCCTACCTACCTAGGCACCTAACGTAGCACCTCGTCGAAAGCTCAACAGCCCATTTAGGTGGGGTTAGGAGCCCTGAAAGTCTCTAGCCCACTGAAATTCTCGCGGCCCGGTATGACGCATCGCAAGTTGGCCTGTCCTGATACATCGCTAGCCTCCATGACTAAGCCTCCAGCACAGAAGCCGTTCAACAGTGCAACTGTACCTTGCAGATCTATCTGAGTACCTATCTACCTACCTATCCAAGGAACAATCTTGTCACTGCCTTAGTACCTAGGTAAGGGAGGTCGGTAGATTGGAATTCCGTTGCACTGGTGGTATATCTGCTGGGCCATGAATCTCTCCCCAAGACTCTTCTTCTAGGTGATCGATAACTTCACTGTTGTGGTACTACCTACCTGTCCATCCCCTCTAACTCACCCTCATTCAGGCACGATCCACAGAACTGGAGATCAAAGCCCTGGCGTCACAACCTCCACCTTCAAATCACTTCACTTCTGCACCCTTCGTCTGTAGATCGGCACTCTCAATGACCTGCAATCGAATTTTGTAGCCCTCTTCATTGCAGGGGTAACCCAATCCTCAGTTTCACTGGCAGATTTCTCCCTCGGCCATGATACCTCTAAACTAGAGAGCGATCATCCTTTTCTTCAACCCTTTCTCTGTCTTTACCGCCTGCTGGCCCTCCGTTAACGATAATGGCGGGTGCGAAAAAGAAAAAGAAGCCCGCTGCTAACCCAGCTCGAGGATTCGCAACCACATCGGTTGCTTCCAAGCCCAGGCCTGAGGTTGCCGAGTCTGAATCGAAGCCTGTGACTATCAAAAGTCAAAGTGCCCCTCCATCGACCCAGAAGGATGCCCCTCCATCCTCGTCCGCAACAACTGGCGGTGCGACCACCAATGCTCCAACCCAGGAGACGGCCCTCAGCCCCGAAGAGTTCGAGAAGCAGTTGGAAGAATCTGAGCTACAACTGCTCGTGGAGAAACATGCAGCAAAAACAAAGAAAGATGCTCAGCGGCAACGGAATCGTCTCGATACTGACCGTAGACTCCTTCGTGGCCAAGCCGATTCTATCAATAGTTTCAAATGGCTACCACCAGACTTGATGGAACACATACTCGACCTCGTGCAAGCAGAAAATCGATTTGCCGCTTCTAGCCTGTCCTCCTCAGAGAATGCTGGCGCTGGGAAGGTGCCTCCTGAAGAAGACATGATCATCCGCCTCTGGACATTACAACAAACCCTGATCGCAGCAGAGTTCCCCACGGACCGAGTGACGGCTGTGATACGATATATCCTCGATATAGCACCTAATGTCGCATCGACAAATCGAGATTCTATCTGGGGACTTGAAGAGGCCCTCGACTGGCTAGCTAGAGAATGCAAGATTGGAGAACTGCCGAGTTACGAACCTAGATCGAAGCCGATCCCCAAAAGCACCGGTGGTTAGTCTTCTGACGTCTTGGGCCATTCTCCGACTAACCATGTATAATAGATACCCCCCAGGACAGTCCAATGCCGAGCCGCTCTAGTACTCCTCGTCAAATTGATACTCGGAATGGCCGTAGAAACAAGCCAGTTGGGAGCAACGCTCGATCAGTCAAAGGTTTCTCACCCAGTAAAAAATTGGTGGTGGCTTGTGACAGCGACATAGAAGCGGATGAGCTTGTTCCAAAATACTTGGAGACTAAAGCCAAATTGCTAGAACACGAGCGGGGAAAAGACCGACCAGATAGCTCAAAGACATCAGAATCGGACGAAGAACTTGTTGTTGCCAAGCTCGAAGCTAAGATTCGGAAGATCGAAAACGATGTTCTTTTCGACAAGTATGAAGCCGAGCAGCGGTGGAGAGCCCAAAGAATTGATCTCGAAAGGCGACTGGCTGCCGAGAAGCAAGAATACCAAGCTCAAGCCGAGGTTATACCAACCAGGGCGGAAGAAACTCCTCATGAGCAAGTGGAAAACGATGACATTAACGATGAAGCTGAGCGCATCGCCGCCGAAGTCCTGGCCGAGGGGCAAGATGAGGATGAGGATGACATCGGCGGATTATTTGCATCTCTGCCACAAAATGAGGTTGACGCAAGCACAGGCGAAAACCGAACAATTGTAAACTCAGCCGATGGAAATCGAATTACAATTCGCGATTTTGGCAAGTGGACAGGCATTAGTCCTCGAAGGGCACTCGAGGAAGCATGCCGTTCGAGGTTAGCCCACTTGTTGTCGCTACAAATTGTATAAAATGTGCTAACCACGAATCTTAGGGACTCTTCGGCCAGAATCTCATACTCTTTTGTATCAGATGCTTCCTTCGCAAATCGTCATTCCTTGGATATTACCTGGACCAAACCTCAAGAGGTTCCACCACCAGCAGCCTCATCCGACGTACAAATTGTAGCGGACCCATATAGATTCACTTTTACGATGATCGGCATTGCAACGCCGGATGCTAAGCAGTCCGAATCCTATATTTCCACAGTGGCCTTGTTTTATACTTTCAGCGGCAATACCAAGGACGAAAAAGTGGTAATCAGACTTCCCCATGTCTGGAAAGACGTTTGGGCGGAACTTGCTGAAGCACGAAAAGCTCAAATCGACGAGCAAGATAGAGATGTGGTGAGGGACTTGAGAGCTCTGGTGCGTCAAAGACATGACCAGGAGCTTGAAGATGGTGTTATCATTCAAGGCGCGTTTCGGGGACGGGGCGCCAAGCACACTCACGACTCTGGCGATGATGGTGGTCAAGATCGATCAAGGCAGAGCGTTGCAAATGGGGAGTACTTTCAGAAGATTTGGGCAGACAAGTCGAGCACGCGCAAGTTTCAGATGATGCTGGTAAGCAACAACCTGTGCTATTAGGTTTCAATGACGCTGACGAAGCTCAGCAATCCCGAATGCAACTCCCCATGTGGAATTTCCGAGAACAAGTCTTGACTGCTGTCGATGAGAATCAAGTGATAATCGTCTGTGGAGAGACTGGATGGTACGGTCTTTGAACACGTTGTTCTCGAGGTCTTACTAACTGGACAATAGCGGAAAGAGTACTCAAGTTCCGTCTTTCTTACTAGAGCACCAGCTTTCTCAGGGGAAGCCCTGCAAGGTTTACTGCACGGAGCCAAGAAGGATCTCTGCGATCTCTCTCGCTCGCCGTGTCAGTGAAGAACTTGGAGAAAACAAAAATGACCTTGGAACGAATAGATCCCTAGTCGGATATTCTATTCGACTCGAGGCTAATACTTCGAGGGAAACAAGGCTGGTGTATGCAACCACTGGTATTGTAATGCGAATGCTTGAGGGCTCCAATGATCTGCAGGAAGTGACGCACCTGGTGCTTGATGAAGTTCACGAGCGGTCTATTGACAGCGACTTTCTTCTGATCGTCCTGAAGAAGCTCCTCATAAGGCGCAAGGACTTGAAGGTTGTTCTTATGTCTGCTACAGTTGACGCGGATCGTTTCTCTGCTTACCTTGGCGGAGCACCAGTTCTCAATGTCCCTGGAAGAACGTTCCCAGTGCAGGTTAGATACCTCGAGGATGCCATTGAACTCACTGGATATACACCTGCGGATTCTGAGCCTGACAAAATGGTTGACTTGGATGATGATCCTGCAGAGAGTGATGGAGAAAACACTAAGAGTGACATTTCCAAGAGTCTATCAGGATACACTGCAAGAACACGGTCGACACTGGCTCAAATTGATGAGTACCGTATCGAGTTCGATCTTATTTTGGAGTTGATAGGTCAAATTGCGGATAACGAACATCTGCAGAATTTCAGCAAGGCTATTCTGGTGTTTTTGCCAGGTATTGCTGAGATTCGCACACTGAACGACCTGCTGCTAGGAGATCCCAGGTTTGCCAAAGACTGGCTTGTGTATCCTCTCCATTCAACCATCGCTACGGAGGACCAAGAATCGGCATTCCTTGTCCCACCGTCAGGAATTCGTAAAATCGTTCTTGCCACCAATATCGCCGAAACCGGGATCACCATTCCCGACGTCACTTGTGTCATTGACACTGGCAAGCATCGTGAGATGCGCTTCGATGAGCGACGCCAACTCTCACGCCTGATTGATACCTTCATTTCTCGCGCCAACGCAAAGCAAAGGCGTGGTCGAGCAGGGCGTGTACAAGAAGGGTTATGCTTTCATATGTTCACCAAATTCCGCCATGATCAGTTAATGAGCGACCAGCAGACGCCCGAGATGCTTCGACTTTCTTTGCAGGACTTGGCGATCCGAGTCAAGATCTGTAAGATCGGAGGGATCGAGGAGACACTTGGCGATGCTCTCGACCCCCCCTCGGCCAAAAACATCCGTCGGGCGGTTGATGCTCTTGTGGACGTTCGCGCCCTTACTCAGGCTGAAGAACTCACACCGCTTGGACACCAGTTAGCCAGGTTGCCTTTAGATGTATTCTTGGGTAAACTCATTCTGTATGGAGTCATTTTCAAATGTTTGGACATGGCTATCACTTCTGCTGCTATCCTATCTTCCAAGTCACCCTTCTCGGCGCCGTTTGGACAGCGTACTCAGGCAGATAATGCTCGCATGGCTTTCCGTCGGGGAGA